AAAAAAAAAAAAAAAAAACTAGGCTAGATTGGCTCATACTCAGCTATGTGCCAGCAGAACAATCCAAGCATAACCAAATATCACAGCATATCATCTTTATTTGCTTACCTGTAAGAACATTTTGACACTTCATTCTGAGCTCTTCCAGTTTTTTCAGTGATTCTCTGGTTTTCGTGTTTTCAAACGCTGAGTTAAAAAAAATAAGAGAAACAAAGATTTTGTAAATTAACAAGGACTACAAAAACAAAAGAACAAAAGCCCTGAAAAAGATAAACACATAATCTTTAATTTGCTGCAAGTCTATTAAAACACTGAAGTGACATGATGGCTTGTCCAGTGTGCAATATGCACCTTGTGATATTCTGGATTAGGCTCTTGAAAAGATCAGGACAGAAGGACGTGGATAGGTGCTTTATTGAACAGCAGGACAACACACACTAACTTGTTGTTTTCTTAGCGTTGCACAAACTACCCTTTTTGTTGTTATATATTGGTCAACCAAGAACTAGCCCTGTAACAGGCACTTCTGTATTTTACCACTGGGGGGCAACAATTCACTCTATTACACACATTACACACCTCATCTGATTTATAGAAAATGTAAAAATAAAAACTCACTCGCAAACTCACTGAGACGATAAATAATGAGGACAGCAGCTGCAAGCAGAAGACAGAGAACCAGCAGTGCCACTCTCTCTGCTTTGACCTTTGACCCTGTGCTTGATTTTGCATGCCAAGAGTCAGTTTCACCTGATGAACATTTAGAGGAGAAACAAATGTGAGCCTTCAGAAAAGTGTTTATTCATCTGTTATAACAGTTTTTAAAATTTTCTCAAAATATAATACTATAGTACTACTATAATAGTACACTGTATTATAGTAGATTGTCAATGCAAGAACAGTTAAGTTGATTAAGATGCTTTCCTCCAACAGGAAACATCCCATACGTGAATATCACCCATGTTAAAACATGTTTACATGTCACACGTCCTCATGGTCAGTTCCTCTTTGTATTTGGTCTTGGTTACTTCCTTTTTCACACCTTTTAAACACCTTTTAAACACTTAACAGTTTATCGTCTTTTTCTTTCTTGCATATTTGTACATTTTGATTCATCCTCTCTGAGAACAATTACCTCGAATCTTTACATTTTTGATAACTGCAAGGACTAAAATAAATTGATATGATTAAAGAATGACTCACCTTATAAGAGAATGAGTGGATGAGTAAAGAATTAACGTGGGCTTGGAATATTTTTAGGCCATGTACAGTTAATGTTGTTCTATTTCAGTATACAAACCTTATTCTGTCACGGCTAGCGAGGTGTAGCAAATATGATGCAAATTAAAAATCATACATGGAATTTTTTTAAACAAATTTGTCAGATGGTTAAATAAACTTTCAAGTTTCAAAATGACTAGAATTTTCTGGCAATGATTTCATACGATTTTAAGGGGTTACTGGTCTTACCTTCTATGTAGCTCTGTGGACGGCTCATCATGCTGAGGCTTCAAAATCCTGACTGCAGTGTTCGTCCAAATGTCTCTGAATCACAAAAACAGAACAAAATTTTGATAAATTACTCAGAAAAACTCTTTTTGTTATTTATTCCATTGCTATGCATTTAATATAGATGTAGATAATCACTGGTCCTTATTCTAATTCTTTCCTTACACCTTACCGTAGGATTGTAATAAGTACTAGATGACAACTTCATGTTTCACAGCTTTTAAAAACAACAACTTCCCTAAACTAAAGCGGATGGAGGAAGCATCATCGATCGTCTTGTTCCTCCCACAAGAGTAACTGCTGTTATTAACTAAGGCAAAGTTGTTGATTTGTTGTTGAGATGTGTGCCCGGTGGTCTAGTGTGCTGCCTTCTCACATACAACACATCTGAGTTCTCTCAGATTGCTATTAAAAAACAACACAAGTGTTTCAAATAAGAAGTGAGCAGGTTGAGGCAGAAAAAAAATAACTGTTGATTGGATGAGCTGGTGTTTTAACATAACTGTTAGATGAAAAACAACACAAACATTGGTCTTAAATTTGAGAAAACATATCTAAACATAGCCATACGAACATATTTCGCAAAGAGAATGTTGCTGTGATAATGTAATGTGTGTGCGTTTGCGTTTAGCACACACAGCAGCCATATGTACTTTGTTAAGCAAATGTTGTTCATATTTTACAGGCTGAACTCAGTTTCAGGCACATAGATTTAAGTTGTCCAGTTACTGCTGGTTTTTCACAAATAGTTCTTTGAAGGATGATTTAAACCAACACTTCTGGCCATGAGCTGTTCACAGTCCTCTCCAGTATATTCACTATTTGTTCCATTTAAATTGTTGGTGTCCAGTTGCTGCTCCGCCATCCACCCACAACCATCTGCCCTCTATGGCAGAGGTCTCGAACTCCAGGCCTCGAGGGCCGGTGTCCTGCAGGTTTTAGATGTGTCATGATCCATCACAGCTGATTTAAATGGCTAAATTACCTCCTCAATAAGTCTTGAAGTTCTCCAGAAACCTGGTAATGATCTAATCATTTGATTCAGGTGTGTTGACCCAGAGTGATATCTAAAACGGGCGATTGTGGCTCAAGAGTTGGCAGTTCGTCCTGTAATTGGAAGGTTGCCGGTTTGAGCCCAGGCTCGGACAGTCTCAGTTGTTGTGTCCTTGGGCAAGACGCTTCAGCCGTTGCCTACTGGTGGTGGTCAGAGGGCCAGGTGGCGCCAGTGTCCGGCAGCCTCGCCTCTGTCAGTGCGGCTGTGGCTACAATGTAGCTTTCTGTCACCAGTGTGTGAATGTGTGTGTGAATGGGTGGATGACTGGATATGTAAAGCGCTTTGGGGTCCTTAGGGACTAGTAAAAGCGCTATACAAATACAGGCCATTTACCATTTAAAACCTGTAGGACACCGGCCCTCGTGGCCTGAAGTTCAAGAATCCTGCTCTACCATCTTTCAGTCCAATTCAGAACTTGTTATCAGATTCATTAGGTTTCTCAATCTTGTCTCCAGGAATGTCTGAACAGAAAAGCTTTAGGAAGATGACACTGTTAGACTTTTTTGTGCTGCGATCCAAACAAAACAGATCGTGCCAAGGCTGTGTCCAAATTCAGGGTCTGCACGCTTGAAGTATGCGCACTACGCATACTACGTACGGTGCGTACTGTAAGTATGAGAAGTGCAGAAGTGAGAGGCTTGTGAAATGGGACGGTCTAGCCTTCGCCGCGCTGTTCAGGTTGCCTAGCAACCATGATACTAACCGCGAGAAATGTTTCATACAGCGTTGTTTGACTGAAATGAAGGAGAAAAATGTTTTGTTGGTCATTCATTTTTGTCATGACATCACTTTGATTAGGTGAGTATCTGAGGCTGAGACCACGGGACTGTAAAACATGATTGTTGGGCTTCATTTCTGTGCTGAACAATCATTTCAAGATTAGTTAGTACATAACAATTAGCTAATGTTGGCCATGAGACTAAAATCATCTCACTGTGGTAATGTAAATATAATATGGACAATATTCTGTCTATTCTCTCCATCTGTCAGCTGCTGCTGGCTCTTCCTCCTCCTCTTCCTCACACACTGCTGAGTTTGTCCTGGTGGATCATCAGGGGTGCAAAGCCTCACAGATGATGTGCAGCAGTGTGTCCCTCAGTCTGTCCTCACTCTGGACACTTGCAGTCGTCACACATGGAAATCAAATGTGTGATAAGCTGCAGGATTCAAACACAAGTGTAACTTATAAACACATGTTCATACTTTTATTCCACAATCAGAGAGAAAGAAACAGAGAGAGAGTGCAGGACAGAAAGACAGGTGACAGTCTCAGGTGTATACACTGCTACAAAACAGCACAAGAGAAGGAGGATTTAGTGTTTGTGTTATTACGAATGCTAAACAAGAAGAGTTCCCAGATGGTACAGTGGACACATGTGTGACTGCTGTGATTAAAGCATCTTTCTTTCAGCTTAACGAGTGAACCGTCAGCTCGTTCGAACGCACGTTAAAGTCCGTTTGGCTCGACACCACCGAACAGAGGCAGCAATATGACACAGCTAACATTAACAGTGCAGTGAATCCTGCTTGTGCCGTGATATTCAGGAATACAAACCGAGCAGCATCACTGACTTTCAGCTTGTTGTGTTTGTGGATATATGACTGACTTTAATTATCCATCAAATCATCACATTCTCTGTAAGATTAAGGTCGACTATATATTTTGAAGTAGAGGCTTTAAAACCAAGTAAACGCTAAAAGTACAAACATCACTAATGTCACATAACTTTGCCGACATGTGGCCAACAGTAATGTTTTAATGTTCTTCATTATTAAACATAAATAAATGACATCATATTCAGTACTTACTTTTGACAGTTCACTCTTCGGCCGCTCCCTTCTGCTGTATTTTGCGGCAAAATGATCCACACCCACCGCCGCGCTATGGATTGTGGGATATATGGGACCACGAAGCGTGCACCAGACCACGCTTGATATTTGGGGACATCGACGGCGCATTTGGAGTACGCATTTGAAGTACACTTCGAATTGAGACAGCCGTCGTCGAGTGGCGGTGAAGTAATAACACTCAGAATGCGTACTTCAAGCGTGGAGACCCTGAATTGGGACACAGCCCAAAACAACACAACACCTTCTTTGCGTTTTTACTTTTGTTGTTCCCGCCTCCGAAATATCTGGGGGTTGACTTGAGTCCTTCTAAATTAAACTATTTGTCATTGTTCGGGTGAGTGGCAGTATTTTTCTACAGTGCTGTGGTCTCCACCTCTGGAGTCATCTTCATCATCTCACCCAGTATCCACACCTGGTAATGATTGAGCCAGCTTTATTTAAGGCCAGCGCACACAACTAGCCTTCGCCAGATAGTCTGCTAACCTACCTACGTCTTGATGCATGCTCAATCATTCAGTAAAGTAAATCCCCAAAGTCTGATTCTGTTCAACTGGACGTAGCGTTTTCAGAGGAAGAAACATTTCGTCACACATCTAAGTGTCAGACTGACCTACTGGCCTACACCGCTGTAACACTATCATTTTTCACAGTTTGCTCTGTTTGGCTTCTTCTTTTCCTGGTTATAACTTTGTTACTCCTCGTATCCCATAGGCCTTATTCAGGACCAGAAGAAAGCAGGTGGTGGACAAGAACCACCTCATCTGTCAGTCCAAGACATGAGTCACAAAATTCAGCAAGGAAGCAATTTTGTTTTACTCAGTGTGGTTTTAATAAGCTTTGAATACTATTTTGTCTTTTACTGTTTTGTCATCTGTTTTCAACTTTCTCTTAAGCCAAATACTGAAAAGGCTGTACGATATAAAGCCAACAACTTTTCAGTCAATATTTTTCAATTTTATTTTTATTATTATTATTATAACAATGATTTAATCTCTTCAATTTAAGAAGTATTTATGTTCAAATTCTGTGCTGTGTTTATTATTTCCTTGAATGTCAGTTTTTTAATGACTATAGTTTGGGGGGGGGGGGGTCATGTTGGTTCCCCTTTCTTGTCCAATTTGTATATCTTCGGTCAGCATCTACACTCATAAATATTTTCCTTTACACTTTTGTGGCTTCAAAAAGTTGTTCAAACCTTTATGATGGAGAATACAAACTTCCTGTTCAAGTTAAAGAATGGAGAGAAGACCTGAAGTACAGCCCTACAGCTTATCTTTGAATAACGGAACGCAGAGACTAAGACTGACAAACACAGGAAACACTGCGGACAACACACAGGGAAGGTAAATACTAAGAAAACTAAACCAGAACCACAAGGGAAAAAAATTGTCTGTTTTGTTTGTCGCAATCATCCACTGAAACCACACAGTGACTAAATTTCTACACTGTCTGTGTGTATAGAAAACAATACATGCATAGCATAACATTTTCACTGCTGAGCAGATGAAACCCAACTTTATCTATCCATGAAACCAGACAACACACACCAGTTACTTAAAATGAAGGAATGTCTTAAAGGTATAAAGACCTGGATGACCTTTAATTTTCTGCTTCTAAATTCAGATAAAACTCATGTCACCGTATTCGGCCCTGAAAATCTTATAAACATGGTGTCTCACCAGATACTCACTATGGATGGCATTACCCTGGCCTCTAATAACACTGTGAGGAATATTCGAGTCATTTCCTTTAAGGCACATATTAAACAAATATGTAGGACTGCTTTCATCCATTTGCACAATATCTCTTGTGTATGTCTCATTATCCTGTCTCAAAGCGACGCTGAAAAACTAGTTCATGCATTTTTTTTACTTGCAGGCTGGACTACTGTAATTCATTATTATCAGGATGTCCTAAAAGTGTCATGAACCATAGTTCTAGCACGCAAGCTGGACCCAAAAGCAAACACAATACGCAGAAATGCACACAAAACAAACTTTAGTTTTCAAGCAAAGGTGACCCGGAATAACCAAAGAGAACACGCTGCTTTGGCGCTACACAGAAGAGACCGGGAAATAAACGACACGGGGACGCCGTAATCGGGACCGTTTAAACCGGAGGAAGGAGTGCCCGCGGGAGAGGATTTCAGGGAGACGAAGAGGATGATAGGCGGTTTCTCTGAAATCTAGGCGGTCAGGAGGACAGGCAGGTGAAGGTACGAACATTCCGGACAATAACCACTGAGTGGCGACTGACGGACTGCATCCCATGATGCTTTAAGTATTTCTTCTTCAGTCTCATTTC